AAGGTGTTAACGTCCTCCAAGTCATCTCCATCAAGAGTAATTTGGTTGACACATGTTGTGTTGCATCGGAGAATTTCGCTTTTACCTTTATGTATGTTGAGACCTACTTCTGCAGAGGCTGCTGCTACACTGGTCGTCTTATTGCATAACATTAGTTCATTGTATTTTAACTGTGTAACTAACTACCTCAAACTTGTCACAACTGAACCACAACCACACAAGATCGTGTGGATTGATTCAAGTTAGACAATAACACTGTTAGATAATAGTTCATTGTTCAAGATGCTTTATTATTTACGTAAGAAACTGTAAGTCATAGGAAAATGCTGAAGAATCTCCCTCTAACTAGGACGAAACAGCCATTCAGTACTTTCATATTTTCGTCGGTTTACTTAGGGTTGAAAGGCTGAGGATAGAGTGGTGAGTTGTACAATATGGTTTCAATGGTCGAAAATTCAATGAGTGGTAGGTAACAGGCGTCAATGTTCAATAGTTTAATTTATTTACTCATGAACATGTAACAATACTTCAAGTTTATCATAATATGCTTGATTGGCTTCTACTAAATTCCAAGACATAATTGTATCAATTAAATAACAATGTTTTGGTCAACTGTGTTCAATTGTACACTAATAATATCCAACATTGTTATTTCACACTGGATGATTACGTATTCTTTCTTATCAGGTATTTTATCAAAAAAAAATAGATGTATCTTACATCATTAGTGTTATTGATTTTTTTATCTGCACACTAACTTACAAATTAATTATACGGTACGTGAATATTAATATTACGTGATTGGTCACAATTTTATTTACTATTTTTACAATATGTCTATCATGTCATGTTTGGTTAGATGTTGAAATTCGCGCTATACAATTTTTTTTCAATTGAACTGCAAAAAATTTTACGTGCCTTGTATTTTGTTATCGATTTTTTTATTGATTTAGTTGAAAAATAGTCATGTCAAGATTTAAGGTACGATTTAATGATAAGTGAAAATCTAGGGGGTTGACTGGATTATGAAGATGTCAACATCTGATTGGAATCAGGGGATACAGTGGATAGCTGGAATGTAGCTGGACGATTTTAACCTTCACAGATGATCTAGCCCTTGCATCCAGCAGTAGTAGCTTCTTGAGCAGTGGGTCTAAACACACACAAGGGAGAAAGCAACATCTTCCAGTACAGCACAATATACGCCAACCAAATCACACTTGATGGTGAAGCTTTGAAAGATGTAGAAACCTTTGAATATCTCGGCAGCATCATTGATAAACAAGGTGGGTCTGATGAAAATGAGAAGTCATGGATTAGCAAAGCAAGGCTAGTATTTCTACAATTGAAGATAATCTGGAACTCTGAACGACTATTAAACAACAGAAAAATTAGCATTTCCAATATGAACATCAAGACAGTTCAGCCGTATGCAGCGGAAACTTGAAGAACTATGAAATTTATCATTCACAACATATAAGTGTACATTAATAATTGTCAACACAGGATACTTCATATTCGTTGGCCAAACACTATCAGCAACATTCTGCTGTGGGCTAGAACAAACCAGATTGCAGTTGAGGAACAAACTGGGAAAACTCACTTCAAGTGAAAAGGATACACATTGAGGAAATCACCGAAGTGCGTCACAAAACAAGCCCTTACCTGGATTCTTCAAGGTAAAACGAAAAGGTGTTAACCAAAGGACAAATTACGCAGAGAAACGGAAGCATACATCAATAGAATGTACAGTAATTGGATAGAACTTTGGAGGAGGCCAAGGACAGTGTACTCTGTAGTGCACTGGTCGGTGGAGGTGTATCAAGTGTAATCAAGTCAGTAATAATGTCATAGTTATGGAGGATCATGAAGGTACCCTTCGTTTTAATGGAATTTTCTAATTATAAAATACTGTACAATGTTGTAAACATGCTTGTGTTATAGGAAATTGGACAATGAATTTGTTTCCACTTAAAATTTACACAATTAAATTACTGAATTGAATTTCCCTGTAATTATTACACATGTAATGACGAGTTGTACTTTCCACATACTCAATCAACTTCAGGAATATTCCAATGGTAGTTAGTGGTTGAAAGTAATCGTTCTCAACAATGAAAACGTGATGTTATGTCATTTTAGACTAATGGCCATATGACAATTTGATCGATAAAATTTCGATCAACACTAAAAACGACCGGATAAACATCACATTGTGTCACAACTTAGTGATCGATCGATTTGAAACAAAAAAATTAGATTTTAGAGGTTATATATTTCATAATGTTTGACTGTGTTTTTACAAAATTAACTAAGGGTAGTGAATTTTTTTTCCCAAAATATAATATAGAAAGGCAATGATGCATCTCAGTTGATCAATAAAATGAGATAGTGGGTTAGTGAACTTTTGAAAAAGAAAACAGTTTTGTATACAACACAATATCACATAAAGAATAAAAACATGTTTTAATGGCCAATACTAGTACACCGCAGCTCACTCACTATCTGTCAATGACCTTTACCTAGTAGAAAAATCGATAATTCTGTCATTTTTGAATGGTATATTTCCGCCATTTTTTTTGAATTTGGTCAATTTTCAATGTTACATATAACATGTATGTAAATATGTAATTTTTATTTTTACAGAATAAATTATTTGTTTAAATAAATATGTAAAAACACATTGAACAAGAATTGTGATGCATGTATAAGAGTTAATATTATATTTGTTTGAATAGCAGAATATGATAGATACCACCGATCTGGAACATAGATAATTCGATCAATTTTTATAAAGAGAACACGATTGTTTTAATAGAAACATTGATTATTATAATCAATTGTACCAGTGATTGTTTAAGTGTACTTTTTGTCTGTTACACTCTTGTACGACGCGCTCTACCTACTTTGTAATTTCGCCCTGCTTTTCTGGTACGATTTCGGTATCCTTCGGATACCACAAAATCGCTAGTAAACCCGGTTCTTCTCTGGCACGAGATCATATTTGCTTTAGTGGTGATCATAGTCAATGACGACTCGATCATCAGCACACATGAAATTTTCGGTTGTAGGATTGGCATTGAATAAGTTACAAATTTGCAGTGATAAGGTATAGTTGACCTAGTTTATGACCTATGTAAGAAATTGAACGATTCAATGAGCTGTTAGCTTGACACTGGATGCGAAAAATACATAAAACCTCAGATTATAACTTAAATTTGATCAAGTTAATCTCTTTAAACACTGATTGTAAAATTCAGTTGTGAATTCTGAGAGCTCATTATTTTTATTGCTTAATGTTTGATTTGAAATTTAGATATAGACTGGATTATCGCAGGATTATGTAACTAAAACTCGTTGCTATTTTCACTGACCTTATACTTGTCAAATTGATTCATTTCTCTAACCAACAATTATCGTGAAAATTAAAAAAAATTTACCAATAATTATTTGTTTCAACTTGCGTCACCTATGGTGTAGTTAAGATATCTGTCTGTTAACCAAAAGACAAATTTTCTACGCAGCAGTTTGCTTTGTCCTGCTTTAAGGATGTGAAACATAGCCATTAAGATTAGAAGATATTCATATGTTACTGGTCTGCCATTGAGTGACCACTGTTGTTGTTAGGAGACGAGTACTAGGTAAGGATGACAGATCAATAGATAAAGCATTGAAACTTCGTCAAAGTGGTTGAGACATTTGTTACGTATGCACAGCCACTGACTGCCTTCCTCAACGAGTGATGATGCCTGGTGTAGCGGTAGGTTATAAGATAGTTAGGGGCAGCCAAAATAAAACATACCACAGATACATGAAGTAATTGACAATTGAGCTGAGCCGTGGTTTGAATCGGTAAAAAACGAGAGTAACCAGTGATTAGAGACTTTGAATGACATGGCTCAAAATCGTTCGCGATTTCACAGATGCATCGATTGTTTGTCTTCTAATCTTCTGGATACGTCATCACCTCTACCTTTCTCTCTTTAAATTTATTTCACTGAATTATGCTTCTAGATTAATATTTTTGAACCCTAATCTTCTCGATTGTTACTAATACTTCTACTACCTCTACTCCTATGGGATTTAAGTTGACAATAGCATCTATCTGTGCTGATTTAGTATGGCAACTTGAACTGTTGCACGTACATACGAAGTTTTGGATTGTAAATCGTCATGGCATTCCAAAATGATTAGTAGTAAACTGTGAAAAATGATGATTTTCACATAGCAACTGTTCAAATTGATTTCATCTACTTGAGCTATATGGTTGCATACCAAATAAATAGTCAAACCCATGAAATTAGCAATAAATATGAAGAAATACGCTAGTACATGTCATGTAACTACTTAAAAGAAGTTTTGAAGAGTATTAGGATATCAGATAATACACAAACTACTAAAAAAATCTGATTTCCAGTTAATCAAAACATTCATAGCAAGAGAGGAAATACAAAAAAGGACTTTTTGAACTACATCCGTAATTTATACTGGTTGTGTGATACATCATATTGGATAATAACTTCAAAGCCTAACACTTCACCAAGAAATGCAGCTTCCATAATACACTAGCCTAGTACTCTAGCACTCGGATTACGTAGTACCACCAGTAAGACGACGTTACATGCTATGCCATATACAACTAATCAGTATGACGGGGCTGATGACAATGGAATGAGACATCTATCTCATGTATAAAATGGTAAGCCGTTCAGATGAATCATATCTACTACTATCATTACTACACCACCCTTTTCCATTATTAAATCGCTTTGTTGGTCTAGTTCGTTGTTAATTTATTCACAACTGAACCCATTATTAAATCGCTTTGTTGGTCTAGTTCGTTGTTAATTTATTCACAACTGAACAAACTAACCAATCAAAATAGAGTATTGATTAATTTCTAGATTGTTGATTGGGCAGCATGTCTGTTCACATTCTATATTAAATCCAATGTATTGGTGAAGATAGACAGACTGATCGTAAATGATACAGAGAAGACCGTCTTCTACTTCGTAAAACGAACAACACACACAGAGAGAGAGTGAGAGAGAAATTAGTCAACACACAGAGTTTCTCCACTCTGATCAATAATAAGTAGTGGATTTTTTAAAAATCGAATTATCAGCAGCAGCAATACAATTTAACTGTGATATGGATTTTATGCATGATGGGATTTTTTTAATGATACAATTACGCATTTATTTTGTTCATCATATTTGTTCAATCAATTGATTTCAATTGTTCAATTATTATTATTATTATTACAATTGATTCTATGATTGAAAGTATGCGACATCGTGGTTCTACTGCCGAACTATCACCTGGTCTATATCTTGATAAACATTGTTCAGAAGCAACAATGTCACCAAATAATTCACCGAAATCTGATGTACAACCGGGATTGTATTGTTCACCTGTAACTTCAACAAAATCATCTAGAATATCTCCTGTACTATCACGTATTCATCCATCTAAAGTAACTAGTTGTTTTTCTCAATCAAATCGAATTCAACGTCATGATTTTAAATCAAAATATTCAGGTCAATTAACTAGTCTTAATTCATCTCAGGAGATAGGTAAATCTGGGCGATATATTAATCATCGGAAAATACGTAAAAAATCTAAACGTGAAACAAGATTTCAAATGAATGGTAATATGGATCAGAATTTTCATTCTCTTAAAGTTACTATTAGACGAACTTACAAATCGAATAAATTGGAAAATGGTATTTGTGCAATTGTAAATAATACACCAGATGGAAATATTAAACAGGATGTTTCACATCAATCACTCCATGATAATAAGAATAATTCAACAAGACTATGTGAAACACAATCATATCATGAAAAATTAAATCAAGATGTATATAATCCAGTAAGTTATGTGTAAAATGCGTTTGCCAAGCGTAATTAATGATTGATTGGTCACGTTAAATGATCAATCTTTGGATTTTAGCTGCTAACTACATTGATATGCGGACATCATTCAAAACGGTTGGCAATTTTTATTGATTGCATATAACGTCATATTGAACACTAGCCAAATAACTGGGACAATTTCTACTGCAGTCTTATACGATACACCGAATAACTCAAGTCAAAGAGAGCATTAAGTTGTTGTGTGTAACTAGCACAATGATTTTGCGTAAAAAATATTTTGTGCATTACACTCTTTCAAACATTAACAAAGTAAATAATGTCAGTCCGTATCCAACACGTTGCAAATTTAATAACTTGAAGAAATGATCGATAACGTGAATAGAGACAAAAGCAGATAAAAATTGTAAGCACGAAAATTTTGCATAAACCGGAAGTAACTGAATCAATGCATCAGCAGTTCTGCGACTCGACTTTAAGGAAAAAGTGAAATGTAGTTCTCGATCCTGTAGTTTCGTACTGAATCAACCAGTCTTTCATCTACAATCAATACTTTGATGGATTAATCTCACTCCACATGTGTTCGTGGATATATTTTAGCTATTTTAGCCATTCAAGATGGGCGCCAATAGCTGTGTAATGTTTAGCTCGTTAACCAAGTCCTGGTTAATGCACGCGGCTTCCAACCATTTTTACAATTTTTTCTCACGTCAGTCATACAGTGTTTGCAGTTTGTTAGGCCGTTTTGTCAAGTAAGCATTTATGCTGCTTGAGCATGAATATACTCGTCAGTAATGCTAAGCACTCTAAGAATTTTCTTTTGGAGCTTACTTGCTTACTTACCTGTTACCCCCAATGGAGCATAAGTCTCCCTCCAGTTTCCTCCAACCAACTCTATCCTGGGCTTCCCTCTCCAGTTGTTGTTTGTTGTTTGTTCATTCCTCTCATATCTTTCTCTATTTCTCGGCGTAATGTTTTCCTTGGCCTTCCTCTTTTCCTTTTGTCTAGGATATAACATTTTCTTATGATTTTTCAAGGACTTAGAGAATTCCTGAGTATGTAGATGAAATTCCCGATTTTCTCTGCTAAACACCTCGGTTATCAATACCAAAGATTCAGTGTTACTCTTGTTCTTAATGTTAGATCCCTCAAAGCCTATCCATAGTATTATCTAGTTTTATTTTACCAAGGTAATACGGTTGAGAATTTATTTTTCCTCTTCACATATATTGAATGTTTCACTGGATGAAGTGGTCGATATTTCCATTTAGGCTATAGTTCGAAAAATGGTTGTCCTACTGCGTCGTTAAGCATTCAAGCCATCTTACAAAAATTGTAGGTGAGGATCATTGTTGTGTTCACTAGCCACATACATAAAAAAATTTTTTATCGGCCACCGGTTACTGACAAATTCAGAAAACTTGAAATTCACACAAAAAAATAAACCATCTTCATAGCAGAATAGTCTCTTTGATTGTCGTTTACATTTTTGAAGATTCAAGTGTTTCTACCAAAGTGTTTGATAGATGTGCCGCGTCATATATCTGAGAGGCTTAATTATTATTATTCCTTGGCTGTACGCCCTGAATTTGCATACCTTGATTAAAGCTTAATATTCATTATACAGCTCAGTATATCACTAAGTTTCTGTCGGTTGCAACGTAGAACTTCGTACGTAAGTACATCAGTTCATGTCGTCATACCACATCAGCACAGAGATATAATTGTCAATTCAAATCCAATAGTAGTAGAAGTAGTTAAGGTATTAGAAGTAATCAGAGAGGTTAGGATTAAAAGATACTATTCAAGAAGTATGATTCAGTGAGAAAAGTTTAGAGAGTCGAAACTAGAGGTGTTGAAGAATCCAGAAGGTTAAGATTTGAGAGAACACAAAGAATGAATGCACCGGCGCCACTGCGAACGATTTTGAGCCATGTCATTCAAGGTCTCTAACCATCGATTATTATCATTTCGCGGACCCCAACCAGGAGTCTCTCAATGAATGAATAGGTTTTGGTCATTGACTAACATGAGAGTGATTCTTCTAACATTGTTCTAGTTTGGTTTAAGTAATAATGAAGTAGCCTTAACCCACTCACAAGTTGATTGAGTGTATTTCCATTTTATACCAATAATTATGTGCTTTATTAAATAACGAAATCAACAAGCATACATGGCTCGTATATCCTGGGACACCCGAATTAGCAACGCGGTTATTAGGAATCGGGTGCTAGGTAAGAATAGCAGATCAATAGGAGCATGTCTATGATAAAATGCTCCTAGAGTTTTCAGGAGTAGACCTTTTACCAGGTGGCTCGCTTATTGACTTAGAAGTTTTTGAATTCATTATTATTATTATTATTATTATTATTATTATTATTATTATCATTCTGACTGATTTATATTTCCTTGAATTCTTTTGTTCTGTTTTCTGTTACCACTAATACTCTGTCACTACCTCCACTACTATTTTTACTTTTTCAAAAAAACGTCGATACAACAAGACACCAAAATATATCTGCGCCACACTGTAATAGTGAAAAGAGAAAGATAGGACGGTGAGTTTAACAAAACGAAATTAGTGTATGAGTGTGAAGTAATTGCCAAACATTGTCAGAAACAGTTCGTTTGTAAAAAATACAATTGCTTTCATTTATGTGAACAAAATGGAAAAAAACATGTTACATCAGGACCTCTACTGGCTTCTATTTTGAGTCATGTCTGGTAACGTCTTAAGCCACTATATTGCGAGTTAATACCACATAATGCCAATGGCCAAGTTAAATCCATCCAAACGCAGGTATCTGAAGGATCTATTGTGATTCGAGTTAAGATATTGTTGGCGATCTAGTGGTATCGAAATAATACCAAGATCGTGTCTACTTTTTACAGACACGACTACCGAATGAGTGTGTGAGCAAGCCGAAGGTCATAATCGAAGGAAGATGAGTGTTTTCAGTACAATTAAACGAAGAGTTACAGTAAAGCAATCAGCAGTACAATTGGTTACAATAATAAATGTTTCCATTACACCAATCGCGTTCTCTTCATAAAAGTAGCTCACTACACCATTGAGTTGCAGCATTTCTAGAACTCATTACTCTGGGACAGCCTGGTAATTTCAACTCTATGCTAATGGCAACTTAAACTGTTGTACGTACGTACGTATTGAGTTCTAAATTGCAACTAACAGGTTCATGTATTCAGCTTAACTTATTGTTTGTGCTTAATTCAATGTGTAGTCAATCAGATACCATCACTAGCTTGCATATATCGAGTGTTACTCGTGCACAAGTACTTGATGAATAAGCTAATTTAGCTAAAAATAGCCTACTATCCATGCAGGAACCAATGTTTTTTACGAGACTGTTGAAATCGTGAATGTGTATTTCACCGTGTGATTAGTTTCTCTTTTACACTGCAATTGATATAGTCTGGTTTAATTTCTAATGCGACTTTATTGTATTTTGAGTTTGTACATACAGCACAAGTAGGAATAAACTGATACTTTTTTGCATATTTTAAATTTCCATCCGCTTTCATCAAGAAATACCACAGTTTATATAAAAGTATATTTACCATTCTGAGCTTGTTTTTATTAAATTTATGACCTTTAAATAAACACTAGTTTATATTGGTCATAAGCAATGTAGAACGTGAAAGATATATGCACTACCTCAAGTTACAATACTTACACTTGTTACCCCACTAAATGGGGCTTAGGCCGCTAACCAGCGTTCTTCAATCAACTCTCTGCCTTCCTTTCTCGTGTTGTTACGGGTATGAGGACGGTTGTCATTTCCCGGCTGCCCATACCGTGTAAGGTTGTTTCTTGATGAACCTGAAAAGAAAGGTGGATTATTCTTGGTCTTGGAGACCTGGGAGCGTGGCCTCAGAGTTCAAGGGACAACTGCTTGAGGCCGGTCACACACGGCCTTCTTGTTAAAGGTTTTTTGAGGATTAGCTCCGCTCTTAAAAGCCCTTAGTGGGCACCCTTACCGCCGAAGACGGAAGCCTGTGAAGTAGGGTGAGGTGTGACATTTTTCGGGTCGAAATTTTCTAACCCTTCCTTCCTTGTGAGAAGGCAGCATCGTTGCAGATGCTGGTTGTCCGAGGGAAACACCTTACTGCTGTCACACCCCTCTGCAGTCAGCAGTACGACCTCGCCCTCAGACCTTGGGTAGCTGCTTTTAGTCTCATCGTTCTCCAATCGACCAGCCTGGCATGGTAGGACCTGCAGGAACATATGTTCCAGCCAGTATAGCTCGGTTGGGTCATGACGATAGGCAAGTCCGACCACCACGTCAAGGTAGCAGCTACGGTCGGGGCCTTCCTTTCTAGTTCTACTCAACTGTTACGCATAGCAAAATAAAATCCTAAATGAATTCTATAAACAAATTAATAATATCACTCACTGGTAGTAAAATTAAGCATTAAGAATGTTTACATTGAAATGAGGTGATAAGTTCACTGAATAAAATGTATGAATGCATTTTGAAACCGGATCTACTATCACATAAACAATGATGATTGACCTCTGGCATCAGAAGAACATTTAGCATTTAGTTTTTATAGGTGTACTAGTTTTTCATTGATGAAACAAATGGTACTTCAAATTTTGATCTTTATAGATCTTAATTTATTTCTAACAGTTATTTAAACAAACATTGGTACAAGGAGGGACGTAAATATTTATGTGCCACACAAATGATCAAGTTTGTGAGTAAGCTGGCTGAAAGCCCTCAGTGGGCACCCTTACCGCCGGAAACGGAAATCCGTGAGGTAGGGTGAGGTGTGACATTTTTAGGGCCGACCTTTTCTAACTCTTCCTTCCTTGTGAGAAGGCAGCATCGCTGCAGATGCTGGTTGTCCGAGGGAAACACCTTCCTGCTGTCACACCCCTCCATCACAGTCAGCAGTACGACTTCGCCCTCAGACCTTGGGTAGCTGCTTTTAGTCTCATCGTTCTCCAATCGACCAGCCTGGCATGGTACGACC